ACAAAATTTTTATATTAAATTTAATTAGCAATTAGAATACTAGCCATCCCAAATTCTTTTCATTTAGTTACAGTTTTTATTTTGTTATCCAATTAATAATTAATAAATGTATAGTAAATATTAGTTTTTTCTTTTATAATAATATTCACTTTTGCTTGCAAGTTTCAATCTTTCTTTATCTTTACGTTAAATTTGTTAACTTTTCTGACTACCCTCGTAGTACTTCAGCATGTTTGCGCGCCTTCTGGAGCGTTGCAACATAAGCTTGAATATCACAGTTTGCAGCAGATGTACACATGTCTCTGTAGTATGCTCAATTTCAAGTCCCAGTCCAACCAATATACTCCTTTCACCACCACATGAGGGAGTATAAAGAGGCATGTGAGCTGGACCATATAAAGTCTGGTTTATAATCTCACTCGAATTTGATAGTTCATTTTTACTTTAATTAAAAAGCATTTCAGCTAATAAAGAACGAGCCGAGATGTGATTCACAATAGTTACGCATCCGCTTCATATACACACCATAATCTGCTAAGGTTTGCAGGTTGCCCATTGTGGTAGTAGTGGTAGTTGTGGACCGTAGATAATTACGCATACGTGCGCACACTGATTAGGGCACTCCACATGTTGTTCTTTCTGATTTTTTGCCAATTGGCAATTGCACAACACAGCTGAGTATATAGAAATGACGAATAAATGTCGGCTTTAAGCCCCAAGCACATATGTATGTATGTTTAGCACGGCAAGGCGAGGCAAGGGGCACTGCGAGACTCACACAATCGTCTCGCGATTCCACAATGAAAAGAAAATAGAATTATAGTAACTGAAACGTAGCGTATGCTATATGATATGGTATTGCCACTGCGCTATTCAATGAGACTCTGTGGTAGAGGAAGCAGCAGCACTCTGTTGGCCTCGTCATCATCGTCAGCTGCTGCCCAAGCGGAGCGACAGAGAGCGAGAGCTGGAGAGGAGAGAGAGCTTGCGTAAGAGAAATATAAACACACTCACGCAAGATGAGTGCAGAGAAAAGCCGCAGGTGATTGCTCCGATACCCAGAATTTATACATTTCTAAAGAGCATCGATGCGCTGCTTGCCGGTCTTTTCTCTCATATGCTTTCTTCTGCACTCCAATCCGATCCGAACTCAGCTGCATTTCGAGTGCTGGCTGCGGCACATCGTTTGGCATCGTCAAACATCTAATTGGAGCAGCGCGAAAACGAGCCAGCTCATTGTAGCACTCAACAACATCACACATACACACAGACACACACACACATGCGCAAACAGATAAAGCTATATGAAAAGTTCTATGCGTGTTTCGCTCGTCTCTAAAGCGTACAACATCTGCCTTCAATGCCATAGCTGATAAGACCGTAATGTAATACACAGAGTACTTAGTTCCGCCGCGCTATTGAAATGCTGGGTGTACTTCCCAATTATAATATATATCAATAATAATAATAATAATAATAACAATATATTCTGATATTATTATAAACAGTTGGTAGAAGCTATTATATCATCATAAGAATTTCAGCTGCAGCTGCTTGCCATATTCATTTCTAGTTTCTGATAAAACACAGAGCACTAAGTTGGGCAGCATTATTGGAGAACTGGGTGTACTTCCCGATTATGATATATAAAAATGATAATTTATTATAATATTATTACAGACATAGGGTATACACTGTTATATCAATTTCATTTAGATTTGCTTGCCATTTTCTCTTCTATTTTCTTTAATAAAAGTACTCTTTCCTTATAACACCCATAGACATACTACCTCAGATGCTTTGGTGAAAAACTTTCGCATGCATGTTTAAGCAATGATTTCAAATTAATATTTTCGGGTCGTTTCACTTAGCTGAACTTTTACTTTTACCGCGACTTGATTCATCAATATATTCAACTCGAATTAGCAAAACTTTTTGTCTTTGACGATTTTTCCGTGCAATTTTCGCTGATTTTATTTTTGGCATTTGAAGAAAAAAAACATTGCTATATACATACATAAATATCTATGCATGTATATACGTTTACGTGAAAACGGAGACGCAATTAGATTTAAAGTTGTATATATTTATTTATAAACGAAAATAAAAAAAAACACAGGAGCCTTGTACATGATTCCATATGAGAAGAAAATGCTGTATGAAATTTGTATATTATTATTTAGAATTTATAATAATAAAATAAGTTTAGATGACTAGCATGAATTTGTATTACCCATTTAATTTACTTATTTTTGAGGGATCAAATACTTTGTATGAAAGCTTTTTTGGCATGATTAACTAGGTCAATTCTGCTGGACAAAATATGATTATTATGATATTTAGATTATGAAACACAAAAATTGAGTTTTGGCAACAATAACTGTTTTTTTTTTTTTTTTTTAGAAGAATGAAGAAGAAAAATTTAAGAGCTTTCAGCTTTCATAGCCTGCTTTTAGTATATATGTATATAATTCGTTATACTACACAAATACTACTCGTAATACCTATAAATATCAATCAAAATGTATTTACTAAAGTCTAAAAGGCTAAGAATTATGAAGTCTTTGATAGTAAATAATATATGAACTCACAGAAGTGAATAATATAAAACATCTTAGTCATAAATGTATATCATATTTATATGTATATATATGTATATATAGACTAGCTGTTTACTTGAGTTTGTTTAACAAATTATCTATAAGGGTTTTAATACTAGGGTATACCCTCACTACATTAAACTCTATAAGTTAGAGCTTAATCTTTAGACTTGATGTTGTCTATCATATAGTATGTGCACACGTATTTTGATAGGCATTCACATTTAAAGATCAGCGACTTGACCTATCTAAAAAAAATACTATATGACTAGTGCTTGTATAATAACAGTTTAAATACAGATTTAAAACACTCGCTACTCATATACTATACTATAATATACATGATGTATACAAAAAGCTAATTATAAAGCTGTATATTGAGAAATTGTTAATTGAGTATTGATCAAATGACAATAAAAATATTCGTGACAAATATATGAGTATAAACGTCATCAAATATTTTGCAATATCTATACATATATATAAGTAATTATATATATGAGTAATTWGCAATTGCCCGATCCATTATGACAGTGTCTGCATTGGGCATTGATCCCCAATAGGTGATAGGTAAAGCGAATACTACGTGCTCAAGACAAAAACCATTATAAATGATGAGTAAACCTTTTGGGTTCGATGTAAATAACAATGAAAGGTAACCATTTTGCTGTAAACTTATCAAATATTCAACTTTTGTTATCTGCCTTTTCGACTGTCTCTTGATAATTAGCATATCTGTTTGGCAATGAGGGCGGTTAGGAAGTTACAATGCCCCTATATACTACTTGATACTTTATCTGGCAATAGTACTTACATATGTGCACATAATATTATGCATGATTTCTATTGAAAGGTCGTTTGTGCACTTTGATCAAATTTAAGTGGTCTATATAAACTCATGAATAGCTATAAACTAAATTGGTAGAATATTTACGCATAATATCCATTGTACGCAGAACCAATCACCGATTCACAAAACTGTCTGCTGGATACATATACACATAAGATAAATGTATGTATGTATGTACGTAAATATTTATACATAAATTCACATATGATGCTGATATGTATATCTAATTATATATTATGCATTTGCGAGATTAGGTAACACACGCGCAACACAAATCATCTGAAAACTGACGCTTACACACGTATCTCGGCGGATAAAAAACATTATTTGTATATTTCAACTATGCACCGGGTATATATTTTACACGAAAGAAGAAGAGCTGAACTAATATAAATAACATAACAGAAAAATTTGCATTAACATCAGCTGAGCTGTTATTTAACAGCGAGCAGTAAATGTTTGATCCGCTAACTAATGGAAAACAAATCAAAGACCATTATTATTTTTTAATGTAATCGAATACTTGAAATCTTTACTTTTTATATAAAAAGCTCTTTCATTTAAAGGATGTTTTTAGTAAAAACATCGAGTTGTGTTCAAATTTTAACAGCAATTAACTAGTTCCACTGTCAATTTGTATGTACATTATTATCGATAACAAGATCAGTAGCAGAACAGAAAACAGCTGTCGCATGCAGAACTCAAAATTCATAATTCAAAAATAACGATTCAAAATAACATTAATTTTTGTATGTTAAACAAATTGCATAACTTAAAATAAATCAACGAAATCCTAATTTGATGATTATACCTTCTGATAAAAATTAACATTTAGTTTTTTAGCATTGATATATTCGAAAAGTACGCCATAGTTTGAAAAAGGAAAAATACTAGCAAACAAAAGTAAATACAAACCTAACATTTAGAATATATTTAATATAGTACTATAAATGGTACGCCAGATCAATGTGTATATAATCAAAGTAATTTCTTTGAGTATTTAACCTATTCATTTTGTTAAGTCTTTTCTTACAAAACACAACTAAGAATCAAGGTCACATTAATGCGTGGGCTTTAAATAAAGCAACAGGCAAAAACAGTAGAAAAGAACAAGAAAAGCAAATGAGAATCGTCAGAACTAGAGATTAGCAATAAGCGTCGTCTACCCTAAATTAGAATTGAAACCCACTTGCAACGGGTGCACCAAATGCAAACGAGGGTAACACTTGGAAGCATTTAAGCACATAGTTAGGTAGCTGTACAATGTACATACATACAAACACTTAACACGTATGTATGTAGGTATGTACGTGTGCATTTCATAAGAGCGGCCATTTAAGTGCAGCTAAATGAGAAGAATATGCAATATGCCGACGACGCGACGTAGAACCAATCAGTCTCTGCAAACAAAAAGGTATTCAATTTCTTGGCACAGCTAACATATAATGAACATACATGTATGTGGCGTATGGGCGTGCCCAAGATATGTTTACAACTGTAATATTTTCTTAATACATCCTCCAGAATTATGTTTTCACTATCTATTGCGAAGTATTAGATTTAAAATATTTACAAATACATTCCAAATATCTTCTCAATTTACAATATTTCTCCAATTGATATTAAAAATTTCACCTTCAAGGTGATACAAATCTCCCTCCTACTTGACCATAAAAAGTCGTTATCAATTCAACTCAAAGCATTCACACAAACAAATCAAGTTTATCCGGAATCGCTGTTTGGGCCGTGACATTAAAGGCGCACGAAATGCTACTGCGGCGATTAATACGGAAAATCAATAAATATGTATGGGGTCGATGGGCGGAGTAAGGGCGGTAGACGCAGCCTTGAGTTGGCACGAATAAATAATGATGATTCGAACTAGAACTAAATTTCGCCCAGCTCAGTCTAGGGAAAACCTTTCGGAATACCTACCCGACAGCTCTGAGACGTCTAGGCAGCTGGATCTGCTCTTGGTGCGCTGCAGCAGGCGCTGCAGTGGGGGCTGCCTTTGCGGGCTGCTGCTAGACGGTCCATTGTTGATATCTGAGCCGCTGCCCCACTCCGTGTCGATGGCCTTGGATGCACTGCGTTTGAAATGCTCCAGAAAATGATCGATTTGCTTCTCTATGGAACTGGACGGCGAATTTTCCATTTTCACTCTTACATTGTTGGCCGCACGAAAGGTTCACAATTTATCTTTAAAGTGTTTAATTGATGCACTTTAACAAAAATTATTTCAATATCTTTATACACATATACATATGTATGTATTTATAGTAATTTATTAATTATAATTTTTATATACTACATTAATGTTGTTGTTATCTATTTTTTTATATTTTTCTTTTCTTTTTTATCTCTACACTAATATTTGCTGCACTTTTTTTTTTTTTTTTTTTTTTGAAGGTCCTCTTGGATGACTCAACCTTAACCGTTCTTCCGCATCGCTCAACCAAGACTGAGAGTCACGGAATAGGCCACCGCCAGATATTGAGCAAGGATGTGTGTGTGTRTGTGCTCAAACACTCAGTCCATAGATAGTGAATGAGAGACCCAACGACGATTGGGAGAGCCGGCAATATTTGTTACTTTTTCTATCCTCTCATTGACGCCAAAAGCTTCTGCACTAAGCACGTGTTGTTTGTTTGAATCAAATCAAATCTTTGACATGCGCAGAAATGCGAAACAGTTACAGGTTAATGCGTATCACTAAATATATATACATAGTTGTCTATATGTCTTCTGACTGACAACAGCTGTTCGTCTGCCTTATAATAATGTTTGTTTATTTTAGATTCCAAAGGAGTGTAGTTCCTCGATTTTTATCCACTGAAGGATCGTCCTTAGCCAACAGAACCTTAATTTTATTATATATATACAAATATTAAAAATTCTACTTGGTTTTAATTTGTAAATGAAGAATTAAATTTAAATTGTATTTGATTACTTGGTAAATGTTATAATAATAAATTAAACTAAATTTATTTATTTAGTTTCACAAAATAACGATGTCTGTGTATGTGACTTATTCAAAATAGAACATTTTTAATATTATAACTCATTTTATAATAATGTCAACAATTAAACTTTAACATATCAAATCATAAATTTTAACATTTATGAAAAAGCTAAAAATAACTGATTTTGACATGAAAATAAGCTCGATATTTGTTCAAATTATGCAATCGATTGCATGAGTCCAGTGGTTCGATAAAAGTAGTTCAGTGAACGGTACTAAACTGGGCCGACACAACTCTACACAATCAATCCATAAACAACAAAAATTTTGTGTATGAACTTAAGCCAGGCACAGAAGTAAATAAAAACAATAAATGCAAAGTTCTTAACATTGGTCAATTACAAATTTGTAACTTCCACTGGATTATGGGATATTAGCGTCCTGTACTTCGTGTAAGTTGTTTGGTATGACACATTTGTAACACAAAAAGATGAATGTGTGTATGTGTGTGTGTGTGTGGGTGTGAGTATGTGTATGCATGAGAATGGAACTGATTCAGTATATATATCATGTATACATATGTATGTATGCAATTGAACATATGTGCATAGAAAAGTGTACTTTTGTGCATATATATGTAAATATAAACAATCGTAATTAAATACAAATGTGTGTATCAGTGCAAATGCATTTGAGTTCCAGTCAAAACTGCAATACTAAGCCACATTGATTCACTCAGATACTTTGTCACAATTTATTGACTCATTTCGTAGATCTTTATTTCTTGATTGTAGTGTAGAAAGCAAAACCAACAACGCATTTAATCAATGTTCTCCAACGGGCTGCCGTGCAACCTGTCGTTTCCGAGCTGCCTAAGTGTACCAAAAGATGGTAATGAGGAGCTCTTGCCATCCAATATGGGCACAAGAGAACCTGTTATTCTTAACGTATATGACATGGTAAGTGGATTTATGATTGCTAAATATGGTTAATTAATTTGATTAATTTTGTTTGTGTTCGCAGTACTGGATTAATGAATATACCACATCAATTGGTCTTGGCGTATTTCATTCCGGCGTAGAAGCATTTGGCACTGAGTTTGCATACGGAGGCCATCCGTTTCCTTTTACTGGTGTCTTCGAAATCACACCGCGTGACCACGACGAATTGGGCGAACAATTCCAGTTCCGACAGAGCATTCAAATTGGCTGTACCGACTTTACATACGAGGAAGTGCGTCGACTTGTTGAGGAATTGGGCAATCAATTTCGCGGAGATCGTTATCATCTTATGAACAATAATTGTAATCACTTTTCGGGCAACTTGACACAGGTTTGGCACACAGTCGTGACTTTAATCGAATCGAATACCCATTGTAATTTGTTTCCTCAGATACTTTGCGGCCAAGAGATACCCAGCTGGGTGAACCGTCTAGCACATTTCAGCTCCTGTGTGCCATTTTTACAAAGATGCCTACCAAAGTGAGTATCTTAAAATTCGATTAGATTAGACTTAAATAAATGTAATTTGGGCTTTTCGTCTATTTCAGAGAGTGGCTTACGCCGAATGCCTTGCAGCAAAGCATAACAACAATCCAAGAGCGCGAAGACTCGGACAATAGTCCCCTTTGAGACATTACCTGATCTAAAATATATTCATAAAACTTACAAAGTCCCAAGCGAGCATAACAACTCATCCCTGCTGTCGGAAGACCAACAATATTGTTAAGTTAAATTGAGAAGAGCCGGGTTATCGACACTCATTTCATTAAAGCCAAGAAAGAAAGAAAAAATGAAAGCAAAAACATTTTCAAATAGAATGCAAAATCATAAATAATGTTAATAGTTTTATATTAGGCTACATGGAAAGCGAATAAATTATTGGCTAACTTGTAACATGTAATTCGACTATTCAGAATTAAGATATTATTAAGTGGCCGATAAGTGTACGTTATCAGAAGGCAGCAGCAGCCGTGCCCATACACACAGCCCACAGCTGCAACATCATTTATAGAATTTTGAATTAATGATCAAACATCGAGAAACCATTTTTAAGAAATTGCTAAACAAACAAAACAAAAAAAAAAAAAACATAATTAACAAGCAAAGCCAGCAAATTATATGTAGTTAAATGATATCAAAGTTGTCATCATTAGTTAATTTGTATACATATTTTATTATTTGAAAATTGATTTTTATGATTACAATGTCGAAAGCCGCATGTCTATCAAAACACCAAAACGATCTGTTATCAATAAATATGTACTTGACATTCTGATATTTACACATACATTAATACTATTATATTAAAAATTTTTTAAAGAAAATATATTTTAATTCAATAATAACTCTAATACGTAGTTATTCATAGTTGATACGCCTAAGTGAAGATACAAAAAGAAAACCTACGAAATAAGTACATGCATACACACATACATGCACATATACATATATTTTCAGACAACAAATAGTGCCAAAAACAAATGCTGCGAATTCTAAACAAAAATATTATTACTGTTAAACGTTGCCGCGTCCAGAATTTGCTCTGCCAAACATCTGGCTGAGTGCAACAAACTAACAGGATAACATAAATATATAAATACATACATCTAAATAATAATTATGATAAATACATTGTGACAACTATTTACAAAATGGTAGCTACAAAATCTGCACAATTATATTATTTACATTAATTATTAACTTGCTCCATGTGTTTCAAACCAAGCTGGAAACGTTATTGTATAAGCCCACAGATGCGATTTCATCCACATCGATATCGACATCGCTGCTTAGGGCATTGTGCGGGAGTTGACTTCGAAAGATCATAGCCTGGGATCGTATTGAGTTGACGCCTGGTGCCAGATTCCCGTGGGGATATTGCAGCTGATTGGTGTCAGCCAGAGCTGGTGCTCGGCTAATGTAATCCCCGTGCAAGGGTTCATGATCATGTGGCTGCAGATGGAGGGATTGGGATTGGCATTGGGCACTGGGTGAGCGGAACTCTTGCGGTCCCGCATAGCCAACTGGCAGCCTGACGCTGCCCAAATCTCCAGAGTAAACGTTTTGTGCTCTTTGCAGATTTCTTGATCGATTGGGAAGATCATGAAAGTAAGCATCTTTGGGTATGTGCCTCTCAGCTGCACCGTATGGCGCATATTGGGGTTTTCTCGCGTGCGCCGCATACAGAGACGAAGCATTCGGCAAGGGCAATTGACCAGCGTTTTCAGGATTAGATATGCTATGGAGATTATTGCTCAACTGAGGCGCCACCATTTGTGAGTGCGGCAAGTCGTAGCTCAAGCCAACATCATTGTCGTACTGCATGTTGGAATCAATCCTGCCCTGCAGCTGGGCCACCATGTCCTTCACTTGGCCTGTATTCGATTTCTTTAGGTATTTTATTTCGCTGTTCCTAATCTCAACCTTACCAGCAGCTTCATTGGAGTTTTGTCTCATATGTACGCCGCCAGCTGCGTGGTGTGGGATGTTTGCTTGGGCAATACTCAAGCCATTGGAGTTATAGAGATTTGCATTGACAGAGTAGTTGTCCTCCAAGCAAAGCGCTTGCCTCTTCATGAGATTCGATATGGATTTTTGCATGGATCTTGGGTGGGACGGTTGCGCATGAAACACGGCATCTGTGCTGCACGACGCCGATGGCGATGGAGATGGTGTGCTTTGAACTTGCTCCTTGTACAACAACTTATCGCCGCAGACTCTATCTCTATCATTCTGATTGAAGGTTACGTCGTCCTTGTTGTGATCCGCAAAGGTGGCATCTTTCCGAAGTGCTTTGATCACTGTGTTCAACATATTTTCACCGCGACCAATGCAATGGTAATACCTCTGGGCGTCCGGCGGAGTCGTTTCGAACTCCCAACTGTTTGAGTTCTGAGACGGGTTTGACGTTTCGCTTGAGTTGGGATAGCGTCTTTGTACATTTGTATACTCATCGTAGCTGGGACTATTAGCGTTCTCCTTATTGTCCAGCAGGTGGCAGGGATTCTCTGGAGTGTACATGGATGGATTACTTTGCTCTGGCGACAGGGAGCAGAGCTGCCGTTTATTCTCCTGCTCGTTGTCTCGCTCCATGATGAGAGTGGTCTTCTCTAGCAAATCTCCAAGTCGCTCCGATACCTTAAGAAAGTCCTGCTTCAGTTCATTCAATTTCGTTTGCTTCAGCTCCTCCTCAGCTGTCGATAGAGCAGCTGCACTCATCACATCATTTCGGTTCTCTGTTACTCCCATACTCGAATTCGATTGGGTATCCTCATTTGAGTCGCTCTCAGCCTGCGCCTCCTGCGACTGCGAATGGTATACGATGTCGACAACCGTTTGATTTTCGTTCTCCAGAATGTCAACGCTTTTCGAGTTCGACATTTTGCCGCTCTCGAAATTACTCTCAAGCAAGTCCAAGCTGCGACATCGAGACAATGTGCGTTCGACCCTTTGAGTTTTGGTTTGATTGTCGTAGGTGGAGCGAAATGGCTCTCCGCGGCGCAGGTATTCATTGAGATAAAGACGCTTGCTCTCACAGCGAATGCGATCCTCGATCATTGTTCGAGTCAGCTGCTCGATTTGATCGTTCGTCTTGATTGCCAACGCTTGAACCTTGTGGCCCAGCCGCTCCTTTGTTTTGTGCACATACTTCTTCAAGCTCTTCCGATTACAGTTCAGTTTATTCTCAATATGCCGGAAGAAGGGACCACAATAGCATGTGTTGCCCACGCTGACTGGGCCCTTGTGTATGTTCCCGGCGAGGTCAAGGAAATACTGTTCGCCTTGCTTTAGCGGCTCTTTGGGTAAGGTTTCCAGTTTGGGCGATGGAAATGAGCGTGGATCAGGAAAATAGTGACAGCCATAGGGCGACCAATTGATTGCCTTATCCACACTATCTTTGTCCTTGTCCTGAGCAGGCGCCGACTTGTCATGATCTTTTGGCTTCTCTCGACGATTACGTATACGCTTTGGAGTGCTTAGAATCTCATTGATTTCCCGATAATTCTTTCTGATCGCAATACTTTGAGGCGTATCGCCCTGAGCATTTTTCACATTCAAACGAGCGTCTGCCTCCAGCAGAATCCGCGTTAGCTTTCGCCGACCCATGGCGCAGGTGATGTGCAGTGCAGTGTCCCCGTTCAGGTTCGTCTTATTGGGATCACACAAGGCCGAAAGGAGAATCCGAGTGACGCCTGCATGGCCATAGCGACAGGCTGTATGCAGAGCAGTATCGCCGTACTATAGAAAAGGGTGAAAGCCATTTAATAAATAATTCATTTAATAAGGATAATAGGACGCACCTTGTTCTGCACATCGGGATCTGCTCCAGCCATCAGTAGTTCTCTAGAGCTCTGATTGTGACCCTTTTGAGCAGCCAAGTGAAGCGCCGTCAGGCCCTCATTGTTAATCATGCTCAGCGTGCTGTTGTGCAGAGCTTCGATCGTGTTTGCTACCCTCGTCTTCAGCCGGCTCTTCTGTTCCTTGTGCTGCGTCTTGGTGGTCGGCGGGGCACAGAGCAATTTGACGCAACGGCTGAGTCCTCGACTGGCCGCCTCGTGCAATGGCGTGTTGCCCTGACTCGATTCCCTGGCCAGGCGATCCGCATTGCTCGACAGCAGGATTTGCACTCGTCTGTCATCGCCTGCCGCAACGGCTTCGTGCAATGCCGTCCAGTTTCTGGAGTCATGCTAAAATATGTAATTTAAACAACAATACACATTTATATCAAGCACCGATACGATTTCTTTTCGAACTTACCCCGGAAATGGCATTCGGCAATGCTTCCTGCTTCAAATTGTGATCCATGCTGCATTGTCTGAAGACAAACCCAAATATAAAAAGACGTTTCAATTGTCAAAAGTCAATTAACCAAGTTTTATTACAAGTTCGCGTATATCTGAACATACGTACATATGTATGTATGTAGTGCGTAGTAGAAACTCATTACGCTGTTCGTGTACTGAATTACATACAAACGCTCATGCACGCACGTACCCACTCATACACACACACAGCATGCCATCGTACGCACAAATTTACATACATATTTCAAGCTTTTCTCAACAATTTCTCTAATAAGATCACTTTTATTTGGTATTTATATATGATTAAATTACATTTCTTTTTAATTATTGTCACATATGCACATATAAACGTACAACAATATTTTGCTAATTGAGGTTGACCGCTTTGGAGCGAATTAACACACATTCTTACAATTTACAGCTTTATTCGATGTTTGATTTTGATCCGTTAAAATTTACACGTTACTTCCGGAGCTTATATTCTTTTATTTAATTGAAAATGACAAACTTTAATTAACAATTGGCAAAAAGAAACATTTTGTGCACGCCCAGAGTTAATTTGGCTTTAAGCCAGGCCTAAAGGAAAATAGAAGAGAAAATTGAGGCGAATTACAAAATTGGCAACAGGTTTTGTATATGGTTGCCACCTACCAGTTAAAATAATCGAGAGATCATCAGTATTTTATGTTATCGAAATCAGTTATAATGAGACATTACAAATATTTGTAAGCTTTATCACTGACCAAAGAACACATAGATGAGACATGTAGAACAAACTTTTTCACCACCGAAAAAATGTGCATTAGGGACTACTCACCTTCGTAGTTGCTCGGCTCCGTCTCTTACGGCTCGAGCAGTGAAAATACAAGACTACAAAGTCAGTTCGTTGCGAGCGCTGAAACGAAATGGTCCCATNACATTTTGTTTGCATGAGCGTGACAAATGCTTTTATGATTTCGGTATACCCTTCACTCAAGAGGAAAGAGCTGGGATCGCCGCGAACAACATTCAATTTTTGTGCGCTGCTGAGTTCGGTGATTTGAGAGACCAAAGAGAGAGATAGAGTGAGAGAGAGAGAGTAGGACAAATAGCGCATAGCATTGCTTCATATAAGAATGGGACCATTTCGTTTCAGCGCTCGCAACGAACTGACTTTGTAGTCTTGTATTTTCACTGCTCGAGCCGTAAGAGACGSAGCCGAGCAACTACGARGKTGAGTAGTCCCKMATGCACATTTTTTCGGTGGTGAAAAAGTTTGTTCTACATGTCTCATCTATGTGTTCTTTGGTCAGTGGCTTTATTTTATTACTTAATTCCCAAGCTACTGTGGGCTTTAAAGGCTGTGTATTAAGTTTCACAAATTACTATGCCACTAAACTTATATTTAAAAACAAATTAAGTAACGACAAATTTTAATAAAGAACTTTGGAGCGCGCGCTGTTAATAACATATTGACTAATGTTAAAGGTTTCAGGGTGCCCATAATTCTGCTTGTTCCAGTGCTGGGTAATTTTTGTCAATTTTGTGTCATCTCATCACAAAATAAGTTTTAATTTCTGCGTCGGCAAAGTAAAGCGAGGATATTGTTAAAAATAAAATGGCACTAGCAGAAATTTGCAAAATTTCGAATGCTTCATATATGAAGCCAACTGCCTGGTCTTCGAGTGAAGTGGAGGACGAGCTGAATGCATACACCAGCAACATTGCAAATCCATACACATTGGCGGCTCCTCCATTCGAGAATGTAAGACGAAAAAATATAATAAACTATTGTTATTAACGAGTATTTATCATTCAGCCGCTTGAGAATTTGAATAAAATCCAAGCAAATGGTGATAAAACCGGCATTAAGATCAACTTTGATCACGGCACTACAACTCTGGGATTCAAGTACCAAGGCGGCGTCATTTTGGCCGTTGATTCGCGTGCTACTGGTGGCCAATATATTGGATCACAGTCGATGAAAAAGATTGTTGAAATAAACCAATTTTTGCTCGGCACATTGGCCGGCGGTGCTGCCGACTGCGTGTACTGGGATCGCGTGCTATCCAAGGAATGCCGCCTGCACGAGCTGCGCAACAAAGAACGCATTTCAGTGGCTGCCGCCAGTAAGATCATGGCTAACATTGCTCACGAGTACAAGGGCATGGGCCTCAGCATGGGCATGATGTTGGCTGGCTATGATAAGCGCGGACCTGGTCTTTACTATGTGGACTCCGAAGGATCACGCACTCCCGGCAATGTCTTTTCAGTTGGCAGCGGCTCCATTTATGCATTTGGTGTTCTCGATTCGGGCTATCATTGGGATTTGGAAGATGCTGCCGCACAGGAGCTGGGCCGCCGTGCCATCTACCATGCAACGTTCCGTGATGCGTATTCGGGCGGTATCATCCGTGTATACCACATGACCAAAAATGGCTGGATTAAAATTTCAGAAACAGATTGCATGGAGTTGCATTACAAGTACAAGGAAGAGAAGGAGTCCAAGTAATATTTTATATCTACTATTTGCACAGCAATTAAATAAATGTGAGAAGGGAATAAAAATAAAAATACTAAACTAAAATATTTGTTAAACATATATTAATTACAATCTAAATTAATGTTATGTTTCTTGCGGCTTATCAGCAACTTTTTGGGTCTTAATAATCTGTAGAGTTTCCTTGTGTCGCTCCTCTGCTCGCTTCTGCTTGAAGGTGCGCTTGGTCTTTGTTTTGTTTCTGTTAGCCGGCTTGCGCTGCAGCTGGGAGAGCTCATGCTTGATGTCCAGATCCGCGGGCACATGCAGCAGCCGAATCATTCGATTGCGTATCAAAAAGTTATCGAATGCATGGCATTTACCGTTGCGATCAATGAAAACTGCATCGGTTAGCTCGCATGTCATGTGGCCGTCGGCAATGCTGATGATCCCCGCCACGGATGTCTCATTTCGTAGATCTATAAGTACAGCACGTCCTTGCAGTATTACAGGCAAGCAATTCAATGTATTTGATATCAAATATTTTTCACGTCCGCTAAAATTGTTCATGGTGTCTGTAGCCTGGATAACACACCATATTACACTGTGAGAAAATGGAGAGAAATGTTAATGTACCAATAATGACGACTATTGGGGCTAGTACAAAATGTAAACAAAGCTTAAGCGAAATGGTATTAATAAATACTGAGGATCTAGTATTTAAGTATAATTGTTGGCATTCGTTGGCAGTATCTCAGTATTTATTTTGAACATGACATCACAAAAGGATCGTGATCTGTTTAGATTATTTGATAAATTACAAATGACGCTGATTAAGATTATCATGTTATGTGAATTTTATAGAACATCAAAGCTGAATAATTAATACAAAATATACTTATGTCACGACATATTCTCATCCTTATCATAATAAATTACAAGATTATAAGCAACTCCAAGGAGAGAGAGCACAGAGAGAGGGACACACACAGAAGAGGAGCACAGCAGCACACGGTCAACCACCAGCAGCTCAGGAACGACTGAAGAAATGCTTCAGCACCTCGCTTCTATATAGGGCACAACAGCTCAACCGTTGAGCATTCACAGCTTTTCTCTCTCGGAGTACAAAGAGTGTTTCCAAAGAAGCTAAAATTAACAAGGCTCAACGATTGTTGCATGGACAAGTACATATCTATATATATTGTATTAGGTACAAACAAACTTAGAGACTATGTTTTACACTTAAATTGTCTTATTTGCTATATAAAAATGAGGTTTAGATAGCCGTGCCGCGTTCCAGATTTTGTTTGATTTCTGCCGTATGCTCGCCGTAGAAGCGATCCAACTTCTTGTTGAATTTTGAATTGCGTTCGTTAATGAAGTCCACATCGGCGTCATCGTTATAAATGCGGCGTCTGGAATATTTCTTTCTGCGATCGATCTGTTGCTCCAGGTCTTTAACCATATTATTGATAGCACTAGGAGTGTCCTTGGTTTGCAAATGGATCGTCGTGTGAGGGCCACCATAAAATGCGTCGCCCAGCTCAGCCTTCTGTTTCTCATATTTGGCCATATCGCGAGGGGGCATATTCTTAACCAAACGATTGTATTGCCGCGCTGTTTGCGCCTCATATGTGGAGAAACCCAGGTCGGGATTATCTTTACGTATTTTCTTTTTCTCTATGCGCTCCGCATCGATGGCGGATACTTGCAGCAGCTGCAGACGCTCGTAATCCTTGCCAGCAGCCTTTGCATCGGCGCGTGCTTTCTCATCAGCGAGCAGCCATTCTGCTTGTCGTTTGCGTGCTTCCCAGTTGCTTGGCAGTTTTTTGCGTGCGTCTTCTGCGACGACTTCTTGGTGGTTTTGTGTGCGCGCCTCTTGGCGCTGTTTGTGCAGTTCGAGTAAGCGTGCCTTGCGTTCGGCTAACTTATCCGACGCACTTTTTGTTTTTTCCATTGTTTATTTACAACAAATTTATATATATTTGCCAAATTCACGCAACTATATCTTCTTTGTTTTGGATGAAATTCACAGAATAAACTGACAAGGGATGGCAGCTCTGTATTTATCAGCTGATATACTGAAATACCCAATAAATACTAGATATATCGATATTGTTTGTATATCGATTCTTTGGTATTTTAGCGTCCACCGGTTAACACGTGCAGTGCGTTTTGTTTATAGTTACCGCTAAAAGCATAATTTCAATTCGTTGATCTATAAATTAACTGTGCGATATGAAGTTTTCTTACAAAGTGAGTAATTCACCTTCTAAAAAATATATGTTGCTCAGGTTTATATATTTGTAGTTCTCGAATTTGTTGGGCACGATTTATCGCAATGGAAACTTGGTCTTCACGCCTGATGGCAATTCAGTTATCAGTCCTGTGGGCAACCGGATAACGGTATACGATCTCAAGAAGTATGTTCCTTAACTTACGCTTATTATAGGTACACATTAATATATGTCTTACTTAATTCAGCAACAAGTCGCGCACTTTGTCCTTGGAGTCCTATTACAACTACACAAACATTGCCCTATCTCCAGATGGCAGCCTGTTGATCGCTGTCAATGAGCAGGGCAATGCGCAGCTGATAAGCATGCTCTCCTGCACGGTCATACATCGGCATAAATTCCAAACGGGCGTGCAGTGCATCACCTTCAGTCCCGATGGCAAATACTTCGCAGTCGCACGAGAGAATCTTGTGTTAATCTTTTGCTCTCCGGGTGAAATAACTGGCGAATACAATCCCTTCGTACTGAAGCGTAGTTTCATTGGGGGCTACGACGATATCACGTGGCTAGATTGGTCATCAGACTCCAAGCTTCTAGCAATTGGCTGTCGTGATAGCTCCACTAAAATATGCGGCATCAATCACATGCTTAACTTTCGAACGTATAATCTAAGCGGACATACGGATGCCATTGTATCGTGCTTTTTCGAATTGAACAGCCTGCACTTGAATACTGTCAGCCGGAATGGACAACTCTGCCTGTGGGAATGTAGCCTGGAGCCATCGGACTTAACTGAAGTCGATAAAGCTAAGGCGGAACCTGCGCCGCCATCTGCAAAGCGAAAAACTCCAAATGCTTTTAAGGGATCAGACAGTGAATCCGAAGATGATATTGAAGGCAATATGGAAAAGAAAGTATCAAGGATGGCATTGAATGAAGAAACCGATGACCTGGACCAGAACGAAGTGAAAGACGAAGGCGTACAAAAGACCCATCCGTTCTATTACAAAAAGCTCGGTCGGCACTATTTAGCCAACGAGCCGCGCAAGGAGAAACGCGATGCGATGCTAACGGCGGCCAACTACAATCGGCATACAAAGGTGTTGGTGGTCGCCTTTAGCACTGGCGCCTTCTACTTGTATGAGCTACCCGACGTCAATATGATTCACTCGCTGAGCATCTCCGACTACCCCATATCGACGGCCCTCTTCAATAACACTGGCGATTGGGTTGCGCTGGCCTCACGCGAAATCGGCCAACTGCTGGTGTGGGAGTGGCAGAGTGAGCAGTACATCATGAAGCAGCAGGGCCACAGCAGCGAAATGACCTGCATAGCCTACTCGCCAGATGGCCAATACATTGCCACAGGCGGCGAGGACTCCAAGGTAAAGCTGTGGAACACCCAAAGCAGTTTCTGCTTCGTGACCTTCAGCGAGCACACGAGTGGCGTGACCGGGGTACAGTTTAGCCGTAATAAGAAGTTCCTGGTTAGCAGCTCACTGGACGGCACAGTGCGTGCTTTCGATATAATAAGGTCTGCTCGGATTTTATGGAATTCTCATCAACTTTAACTAATGTAATTTTATTTCCCATTTGTATAGATACCGTAACTTCAGGACATTCACATCGCCAACTCCTGCTCAGTTCGCCTGCGTTGCAATTGACTTCTCGGGGGAGTTGGTTGTTGCTGGTGGTCAGGATGTCTTCGAGATATTCTTGTGGTCCATCAAGACGGGCAAACTTCTGGAAGTCATTAGCGGTCACGAGGGCCCAGTGACATCTGTGGCCTTCTCGCCTGTGGCCACTTCTTCGACACTCATCTCTGGATCTTGGGATAAGACTGTGAAGGTTTGGAATTGCCTGGAGAGCAATAGCGAGCACGAAACAATTGATGCTATCTCTGATGTCACATGTGTAGCATTCTCTCCCAGCGGAGAAGAGGTGAATGGATTTGACATAAAATCTATTTCCGTCAAAGTTTCAACGTTTTATGCTTTAATGTTTCTTATCCAGATCGCCGTCGCAACGCTTGTTGGCAACATACTAATCTTTGACGTGAAATCAGCGACACAAGTGAACACAATTGAGGGCCGCAATGATTTGGGTGGCGGTCGATTGCAGACGGATATAGTAACTGCTAAGAAAAATGCCAAGTCGAAGTGGGTAAAGATATCTTAATGGTGTATCAATTGATTTTATCGAATTCTCTTTTCCAGCTATTTCTCAACAATAGAGTATTCAGCGGATGGAGAATGCATTCTGGCTGCTGGCAAATCCGCCAATATCTGCATATACCATGTGCGTGAGGCGTTGTTACTGAAGAAATTTGAAATAACACAAAATCACAGTTTGGATGGCTTAAATGTGAGTAAGGATAAATCATATAAATAGAACTTCATATGAATTCCTATATTGAATTTCGCAGGAGTTCATTAGCCGCAAGCATCTGAGTGAGTTTGGCAATATGGCTTTGGTAGAGCAACGTGAGGAGGGCGAAGGCGGCAATGTGGCAATTCGTTTGCCGGGCGTGCGTAAGGGCGATATGTCCTCCAGGCGTTTTATGCCTGAGGTGCGTGTCTTCTGCGTTCGCTTCTCACCCACGGGACAGGCATTTGCCGCTGCAGGCACCGAAGGACTTTGCATATATGCCCTAGACAAGGGTGAGCAGACGGCTAACTAGAGTTATTATTTTAATTTGTTTAAATAATTTGTTATATTTCATAGGCGTGGTATTCGATCCGTTTGATTTGACGCTGGAAGTGACACCTAAGGCAGTACACGAGGCGCTTAAGAGCGAGGAGTTCACCAAGGCGCTCGTCATGTCCTTGAAACTGAACGAGCCCAATTTAGTGACCTTAGTGCTGGAACGCGTGCCATACAGGGATAGTAAGTGCTCGTAAATTACCTGAATACTATGCAAAAATGCACAAAATTTACCTCTGTACACAGTTCGGCCTTGCCAAGGGAGTTAGGCTCTGCAACATTTGTTGTTTCTTTAGTTTTTTTTACCTTTTATACTTCTTTTTTAAATTTCTATAATCGATAGCCATTTTAGCATTTTTCGCATGTCTAAAAATAAATGCAAGTTGGATTTACCCCTTATATTCAAGGAGCTTACCTAACTCCATTCGGATCGAATGTGCAAATTTCTTGTTCTTTTTTGCTGTTAATAAACAGTTTCAAGGTTCCTTCTGCTTTAATATGACCGGTTAGCGTTTGACAGGCGGAACTATTTGTATAGCCAGATTGTTAATAAACCCCTCGGCCACTGACATAGGTCCCACAAATTGAAACATGCTTACAGAATAAAAAAGAAAAAGCAACAACAAGAAAATATGTAAATTGATTGCCATTGGCCTACAGCACGTGGCTGCATATATTGAAACGAAACGATGTCTTCATTCCTTACAGTTGAGCTACTTTGCGCGGATCTATCGCCCGACATCGCCCAACGTTTGCTGCAACATCTGGCGCGACTCCTGCAGTCCTCGCCCCACATCGAGTTCTATTTACAGTGGAGCTGTTGCCTGCTGAATGCCCACGGCAATCGTGACGGCGTCTTCCAGCACACGGCTCTGCTCGGCCTACACGAAAGCATTTCGCGTAAATATGAAATGCTCAACAAAATGTAAGTCGTTAGCCTAAGGGGTTTTAGCTTGTTGACTAACTTATGAATGCAATTGCAGATGTGATTACAACAAGTACACGATACGAGTGCTCCTGGACAGAGCGGAGCAATTGGAAGCAGAGAAAGGAGCAGACGCGACCATGGATGAGGATAGTGATAATGAATTGATGTTGATCAAGAGTAAAGCGGACATAGCCGAGGAATGCGACTTTAGCGATGAAGAAGAAGAGGAAGAAGAAGAAGCAGAGGAAGACAGTGAGGAGTCTGACGGAGTGTAGAATAGTTAATCTTGTTGTTATATAGATCGTACGAATACGCATATTAAATTGTAATTTTAATGAAATCTTGTCTTTATTTTGTGTTCAAATTGGCTTTATTTATTTACTTGCTTTACATGCATATTTGAATACTCTTTATTTTAGATATGTTTCAAGCATTGAGGTTAGATTTAAGAGAGCATAATAAACAGTTTCGATTCTCTGTATATATATGTATATAAAAAAACAAACCTCTGCGAAAAAAAAAACTTAACCAATGGAAATTTATGTACACAAATATCATATTTGGATCTACGATAAATAAGTATCTCTGTGAAGATGAATTATTAATAATATTTTTTATATTTACAGTAATTTTTTGATATACAAAATATATGATTTCCTTTTAATTCGTTAACCTTATGAAATATATTTAACATAGATATACGTATTCCTAGCTTTTATTGAGTGTGCGCTATTTTAGCTACAGTTAGATATAT